CCCCAAAACCCCAAAACCCCAAAACCCCAATAAGGAACCTGCAAATAGAATACATTAATAAAAATTAATATAAATGGAGAAAAGTCAACCAGATCAGTGGGATTCAGAGTAATAGCAGTTATTATGCTAAAGCAAGTTTTCTAGCTTCTTGTTTTATGCAAGCGAGTATTATTAGTCAGAAGAGTAGTTTGCAGCCTGATAAAAATAAAAATTAAGCTTTTAACAAGATAATAGATATGCTAATTTTTTCTAAATTTATCGTAATGCTATTCTTGGGCCTTGAATATTTGTAGAGCGGCTTTAGGTATAGAAAATAGTATAGAGTCAATCAATTCTTTTTTTAAGCTTATGTTAAGAAAATTTCCTTCTTGCTAAGAAAATAGTCTTAAAATCTTAAAAATGTATGTTATCCTTGAAGATTAGTGCTAACATTTAATCGCTCTTAAGCGATATTTTGGAATCGAGACTTAACAATGCTACCAGAACTTACTAACCAAGTTGAAATGCGATGCGTACTAAATACTCGGTGTTAGCTAGGAGAAATACTATCAAATTTCTTGAAAAAGACTAAAAGTATCGCTTAAAAGTTGTTGTTTGTACCTTCCTTTGAAAAGTGAACAAAATAAATAAATCGCGCAAGGAATATAGTAGAGGCAAACAGATATGCCAAATTACTTCAAAATTTCAATAATTTTTGGATGATCCATCGCATAATTTTTGAATTCTCTTAAATTCTTCTAAATTTTCCCAACTCTATTGCATCCTCATTTCCTTAATTAATAGATTCAAATTTTCTGTTTTCCTCAGAATTCCAGAGAAGAAGTGAATTTACGATACTATTTTCTATAGGCACTTAACAGAAAGCATGGCCAAAATTTACTTGAATAAAGAGAATGATCTTGACGAACAAGAAGAGTCTGAAATTATCTCCCATGCTAAAGACAGGAACCACAGTCTCTCAGACACAATTTACAAGGAGATGGAAGAGAAATAACATAATGATCAGATCAGAAGACTTAAAGTGCAATGAAGATTTATTAGTTATATGGGGGTTCAGATTTCCAACAGCAAAAATTGAGTCAAAACAAGCTATTCACCATGCCCTTCTTTTGATTAACAACATGGCTATAAAGGGGAATTTTAGAATTGTGTACTTCCATACTGGGGTAAAAGGAGCCGGAGAGAAAATACCATCATTGTTAAAAAAAATCTGAAAGAAAATGTCTAAAGATATGAGATCGAATCTGACTTCAATTGATATACTTAATGGGAATTTTAGCTTAAAGTTATCCCTCTTCTTCTTTGATAAATTCAGTTTCACTGATTATAAGATCAATTTCAGGCAAAATGATTATGAATGGCTAGATATTGAGCAGAAAACATTTATTCTTGGGTCTCAGCCTGAAGAAATCAAACTTTTTGAGGCTAAGAAAGACTCGGCAGAAGTCTCCTCTGTGGTTGGAGATAAGAAAATTATTAGAAAAGATGTTGTCTCTACTTCTGACTCAAAGTATAAAGATTTTGATGTTACAAATGCAATACAAACCTATGATATTCTCGGGAAACATCTTTACGAATTTCCAAAATCAGAAGGAGAGATAATCCCAGATGTATTTACAACTATCTTCAGTTATTTTCACAGCAATGAGGTAATTCTCCTTTCTTTCATTGCAAATATCAATTGATATAGGAATTCATGAAAGCTGAAGGAGTCTTTAGACTTGCTGGTTCAAAAGATAAATTGAAAGAAATAGAGAAAGAAATATACCAAGGAAACTATTTCTATCTCACAGAGGTAAACAACCCCGCATAACCTCTTTTTAGGTAGATGACCCTCTAACTGTTGCAGTCTTATTAAAATAAAATTCTAAGAGAGATGGGAGAACCTCTTTGAACTTTTGAATACTATATCCAATTCAAAGATATAAATGATGAAACTTGTCTCTGACAAGAAGAGAAGGTAGAAAAGGCATATGGGCTGATAGAACAACTTCCTGAATTGAATAGAGATACTTTCAAAGAACTACTATCCTTCCTCTATAATGTGTCACGATTTGAAGAATTTAATAAAATGAAGGCAAACAATTTGGGAATAGTATTTGCACCAAACTTGTTTAAAGCTTATGAAGTGACCCCTAATGATATGATTTATGCGCAGGTACTTGTAAAGACATTAACTCTGATGATTACATATTATCCGCAGTACGCTTAGATTTGATACAATTCTCTCAAAAATTATTCAGTTTTTAAATAAATAATGGGGTTTTGGGGTTTTGGGGTTTTGGGGTTTTGGGG